AACTCTCTATAACACAAATTCAACTTTAACAACACATTCAAACAAAGTTACTGGGTCTAATGTTTGTCTTAACACAATCTTCAAAAATTTATTATCTTTTTTCTCCTCTTTTCTTATTAAAAACAACAACACATATCACTTTATCACTCTACCACAAAAAAACCATATTCTGTTTTATTCCATCAAAAGATCAATATCCAATAAACAACCAATCAAATTTCTACACTTTTTTAATAACAAAGCCAAACCCATTCAAACCTGTTTTCTAACCAGTTTTTTCATTAAAATATTCACACACTAATAATAACAACAATAACAATAACAACAACAACAATCACAATTAACTGATAACATACTGGATTGGAAGAGTGCATGACTGTGCCCTGTGCAGGTTCCAGTAATCTATAACTAAACAAGCATCAAAATAACACAACAAGATTGAAGCAGGCTTCATACCCGATTCACTATTACCTCAGCCATACTACTAACTTACAAACCTCCTAACTTTCCACAATTATCATTAACAATGGAGTTGCGATTCACGAGCAACAATGCTACTGTTAAAAAAAAAAGGAAACCTAATCCTAACCAATGTGAATGAGAGTGAAATACTTTTATTACAAGTGAAAGTGAAATACCAGGGAGTTGTGCCCATAATCTGGCAACTTAAGCCAGTGTTCTTCTACTGCTGCTAGAGTTGCGTCCAGCTATCAAAAAGGAAGCTTTGATCTAGGTAGACACATTTGGTTTGTGCCCTGTGGGAGGGATTATTAATGCAAAAGATAATTGCATTCAAAATCCAATACTCACTATCACTACTTTAACAATTTTCATTTCTAATTCCTTAACTATATGTGGCTTTCAGGGAGTGATTAACCCTAACTTCAAACTTAACATATATAGCAACTTCACGTTAAAAACTTTCAACCTTTAACTTCTAATATTCTCACATTTCTTTATTTACATTATGGCGATCTTGCCTCTCAAATTTTTTATATATAATTTATTTTATCCTTATATGTAGATAGTTCCTTTCTTACCTTTTTCCCTGCTCAAGGATTTTTTTATTAGAAATATATCTACTATAATAAGTGGTAGACTAATATGTACAATTTTGTTCATATATCTCATATCTTAAAATTAACCATGTAATAATAATAATTACGCATTAATAAAGATAATGAGACAAGTCTTACTTTAATAATAAAAAAAAAAATTAATATACAGTATATATTGATTTTTATTTAAATTAATAAAAATTAATAAAAATTTCCACCAACATCATCCTGATCAATATTCAAATAGATATTGTCCAAGATGTGAACTCTGCACTGAAAACATCCAGCATGTCTTCAAGTGTCCTGAAGCCTTAGAAGAAGCTAATCAAATCATAAACAACATCAATCAAATTCTCCATTCAGACAAAAATCTCAAACCAATTTCTTACATATGACAAGTCATAGAACTGTCATGTGGCATAACTGATAGAATATTCTCTACAACAGACATTACCAACTGGATCAAGGTGTTAACTGAATCCCTAACCCAATTATATAACTCAATCTGGAAACCATGATGCAATACTGCCAACACCTCACCTCTTACAGGTATCAAATGGAAATCAAATAAACTACTGAATGCCACCAATCTAGTCAAATCAAAAAGAAATCATACTGCCCCTAGCGGAAACTCACACTCCAATAATATCCAAAACAAAACCATCATAGACCTATCACAATTGTCACTAACTCTTTTATTCAGTATAATTATAACTATAACAAATATATTCAAAAATTAATCTCATTCCTTCCAAACACCATTTCTCTTAATACTGAGTAGGTATTCATAGCTGCTTGGTGTTACACGACAAGATATATTGTTTTAAACTTTCTTTTTGATATTAGTCATATGGTTACTATAGGCAAGCTAATATTTAATGCATTGTATCAACATATGAGAGATATTGTTTCTTTCACGATATATATCTTGTTATATGCAAATAAAATAAAGAAATGAACTTTATCTACAAAAAAAAAAAATAATAAATAAAAATTAACAAAAATAATTATCATATTTTAAGATTTATTTAGTTAAAAAATTAATACATATTGACTTATTTATTTTACAAATACTTTATATTAATTTTTTTATAGTTTTTTTTTGAGAGTTTAAACAAGTATTATAAAATGATTATCAGATTTTGAATAATATAACATGTTTTATGTTTATATGATTTCTAACTTTATTATTAGATTTTTTTGTATTTGCTTAATTATTTTAAAGTTTTTTTATTTAACAGTAACCAATTAAAGTAACTAATTAAAATAACTTCTATTATAAAAAAACAATTTATTGAATTTTTATTTCTAATATACAGATATAAAAAAAGATTCTTGTAAAAATGGAAAAAATAATAGTTAAAATAAATTGAAATATTCAAAGTAATAGTGTTATTAATAAATCAGATAAATCAATTATAGGATCTCTCTTTTATTTAGATTTTTTTAATACAATCTTAAGGTAACTGTTTATTTCGCATATTTGGTTGTCATCGGATTAATCTTTTTCAAATATTAAATATCGGGATTTATTAAAAAATTTAATTAACGTCATATAATAACTGAACAATGCAACTTTAAAAATAATGTTATTTTTATTGTGATAAGTTAATATGTGATTTTCTCGTTAAGCTAGAATTTTATGATTAATAAAAAAAAAAGACTAATTTATATTACTTGAAAATTCATTATCAAATATTTAATATTTTTAAAAAAAGAAAAAAGAAATTCGACTCGTAAAGAAATATCTGTGCTTCTAAAGCTAAGATTATCAAATCTTTTTTTTTAAGTATGTATATAGTGTCTTTAATTCGGAATCAACGAAACATGTTAATTGCTTACTGATGAAAAGTTAATATACATCGCTGCGAAATCCGGCTCTAGTTTTTTTAATTAAAAAAATTTTTGTTAAAAACTTATCACATTTTTTGAATTGACATTAATAATATCCCGTAAGTCAGAAGTAGGGATCATGCTAAGTGTTGTTTGTTACATAAATATCTTACAGAAAGAAAGAGAATATCATTGCTACATAAAACCGTTGATAAGGGAATATATTACAAAGAAAAGATGCTAGCTATTCTAAAAAGTGTAGTGTCTTTTGGTGGGGAGAAATCTCGTGTACCGATAGTTGATGTTTGGTCAACTGATTTAATAGACATTTAGTTTAAATACTGGAGATCACTTCAAGATGAATAGTTGTTCTTCCCCGTCTACTATTGGAAAAAACCTTCTAAATTAATTCGAATTAATCTGTGCATTTTTTTTTTGGTGTCTTTTTTTTTTGTTTTTACTATCCTATAACTAAATACCTACGAACATAACAGGATATGGTTTGATTTAGAGGGGATAACTACTTAAGATGATATATATCATCGATCGTGTTGTAAATGCAAAATAATAAGGGATAGATTGGATACAGGAATGTTCAGCATATTTCAAATTTTGTTTATCACAAATGTTTGAATTCTAGGCGCTTGATTTGTTTTTTGGTAATAGACTTCCTGCAAAGGGAACATGTCTTCTGTGTTCTCACAGCCGTACTAATGCACTCAAAACAGAAAATATGCCCACAGATTGTAGATGAGACATCTTTCGGTCGATCAAGGCAAATTGCACACTTAAGTTGAAGACCTCTGGGAATAGAAGTACCATTGCCAGCTAGGGATGGTACCGAGGTCTCATTTTGTGTCTGTGATGGATGAGGCGGAGTGGTAGACCTATCTTGCGAGTAAGGAGGGGTCATATTTCCATCCTGCATAACCCTTTGCACTTGGGGAGGGGAAACATCTGAAGAGTCATCGTCAATTAAAATCACTTCCGGATTAACTTGAGACTCTAATGCGAATCTGTAAGGAGGGAATGAAGGGTAAGGTGTGTACGGTACGATCACTGGAGAAGAAGTCAAATCAATAACAGGAGGTGGTGACGGATAAGGCGGTGAAGATGTGAGATCAACCACCTCATCAACTTCTTCTTGAAAATTAAGGATCGACTCTGCGTAATGTTCAACATCAATGGGTAGCACAGATCGAAGAGGAGGTAAGGTTATTCTACCATGTGTAGAATGTTCGGGCAAAGAAATAGGAGGTAAAGTTACTCCACCAGTGATGTGTCCATCCATGGAAGCTTGATCGGATGATTGGGAAGATGCGTATTGGGAGTTTCGAACAGGTGAATTACAAGCAGACGAAATGCGAGCGGGCGAACTTCCAAGAGGAGAATTTCGGATAGGTGAGTTTCTTTGAGGCGGTGGGAGAATTATTCTCTGGGAATTGTTTCCGTTCGCATTGGTAGGTACTTTTTAAATAGTGATAATAAACAAATCCGTGCAATGTCAAAAAATGTTGCAAAGATATCACACATAGATAGATGTATGTATACCTTCTTCATTTTTTACCAACATCCTACGTTTGTTGGACCTTGACGAAGCGGACGAACTATTTGTATGCGTTAAAGATCCCAACTCTTTAATTTAAATAAGAAACATAATTAGTAATTTAAGATTTATGTCATAACCATCCATAATGTTATATTTCATCAAAAGTTTCATCTCCATTCACTTAAATTTCATGAATTATATATGAGAATAATTCATTTAAAAGGGAGAAAGAAAAGAATCAGAGAACTCCTACCAGCTGTATCAAGGGCTCTCTTGGAAGGTCTGCGCGCTCGAGATGTAGTATTTTCCGGCCTCGGACTCCTTTCAGTCGCAATTCTTGCTGGATCTTGAAAAACACTTAAGGAATTATGCGAACCGCTAGAAGATGGTAGCCCTTGAGGATTTAAATAAAAAAACTTGTGTTACTAATATTCACTACCGCAGTAACGGAGACAGCAAATAAATAAACTCCCTAAGGAAAGACAGGGGGGCACTCTGTTACCATATGGTTCATTAATTAAATCTACGGATTCTTGTCTTTTCTTCTGGTTACGGCAAGGGCGAGTTTTTCGACTTGGACCACTCTCTATTCTGGTAGGTGAGTCAAAAAGTTCCCCTTCCTCTGAAAAAGTACCTGCTGTATTATTCTATGTATGTATTTATATCAGAAAAAAAGATACACAATGTGCAACATGTGTTTTTATATGCGCGAAAAAATTATTATAAACACAAGAATAAAAAAAGAATGTAATTTTAACCTACCCTAGATGCCATTCAAATATCCTTTTTAATGTTTGCAAGTGTTTTTTATAAGTTTTCTGGTAATGTATAAATTACTGGCGAGCATAAAAGAGTAAGCCCACTGCCGGAGAAGTATGAACAAAAAAAAAATCGGAGAGTCGTTGAATCAAAAAAAAAAAAAAGAATAACTCGTTAACTCTTATATGATACAATGAAGTTATATACATTGTTTCACGCGCAAGTTGTGTAAGTTTTGTGAGCACATCTGTTGCACAAACGTCAATGTCACATGATCGCAATGAACCCACACGCGGAGTGATAATCTAGAATTTAGATGCATTAAATTCTTTTTACACGAGATGCCTAAAGAAAAAAAGGAGACCAAGGTGAAGAAAGAAAAGAAGGAAAAGAAAGAAAAGAAAGAGAAAAAGGAGAAAAGGGAAAAACACGCATCAAAATCAGAAGAGTCATTGGAAAATGTCATAAAGAAAGAGATAATAAAGAAAGAGATGGAAGAACAAAAAGAACTACCAAAGGAGAGTACGATGATAGTACATTATGATTTAAAGGCTTTGGTGCCATTTGCTCGGCCATTGGCCTCCAAGGAGTTCTGTTTAGAGTTGATGCAAACTATCAGACAAGGTACGATTAACGTTAGAACTTTTTCAAGGTTTGCGTGCTCATTAAATCAGGTTACGTAATTTGTCAGCCTCAAGAAAAAGGCAATGCAGACGTGGCGTGAAGGAAGTGGTCAAGGGCCTAAAAAAAAAATTTGCAGGGCAAGTTGCATTTTGTTATAAATTAAAGGCGAATTGAAGAATGCTCGACTTAACTTTGACATCAACGTCTTGGCACGGGATAATAGTCTTGTTGTGATGGCAGGTGATTGTTCTCCGATAGATGTAATCTCTCACATTCCAGTTTTATGCGAGGAGAACGATGTGCCTTACGTTTTCATTCCATCGAGAGCTGATCTTGGGTTTTCCTGCGCAACAAAGCGTCCAACGAGCGTCGTGATGGTCGCTCCAGATTTTAAGAATGAAGAAAACTTCGATTACAAAGATCAATTTGATTCATGCTTAAAAAGAGTGAAAGAATTGGTAATTAGCTTGTTCTATCTTGGTTCGTTTCCTCTTCTTTGAAAATGCGCGTTCCCCCTTTTGAATTCGGAATTCTTTCCTTTCCAGGAACAAGAAGAACTCGTGTTCTGAAGTTAAATTGGGGAAATGTATCAATATTAGCATGTTCCTTAAAATTTTTAGTGTTTTGCGTTTAATCGTGTGAATGTTGAGATCACTTTTCTTAAAAAATTACAATAAAAAAATTTTGGTTTACTTCTGTGACCGATATTCTTTGATATCACCAAGTACTCTTCCAGTTACGTAATGAGTTGTGAATATGCTAAATATAGCAAATTAATTATAGTGTAACCATTTCAAGTTTTAGAAAGCCCCCGTGCGAAAGCCATTTGTATTACCATATATTATTTAAATTCATTACATACATTCTTTTTTATTTGATCTTAACGATCAAATCAAAGGTAGCAACCACCGCACCACTTTACTCACATTAGGCGGAATTAACGCACATCATGGCTCCAGAAACAAAGAGCCGTAAGCCCGCAAGTAAGGGCCGAGAAACCAATCGTAATGATTTTCTAAAGTTTACCACCAAAGCTCACCTTTCAATCCTTTACTTTTGGTAATAGACACTGCCTTTAAACAGCAGCGCTTAAAGGCATGGCAACCAATTCTTACTCCAAAAACGGTCCTGCCAACCTTCTTCATTGTAGGACTCATTTTTGCTCCTCTCGGTGGTCTGTTACTGTATGCGAGTAATAGTGTAAGCTATTCAGGGGCTTGTTGGGACATTTGATGTTCATTCCCAAGTTAAAAATGTAGTTCCTTTCATGTCCTCCTGCATATGTTACATACTTTTCTTTTAATCTCTTGGCATTCTTTTTCTTAGGTTTCCGAAGTAGTCATCGATTATACTTATTGCGACTCAAAAGGTATTTAACAATCGCTCCGTCACTTGGCCTGATTTCGTTATTTCACAAAAGAAAATTAACGAATTTTCAAATTTACTTGTTAAACTAAATCGTAGCAACCGTATATCCCATTTACGAACCTATTCCTTCGCAATATATCACTTCACTCCCTCAATCGAACTCATCCACCGCTCCCATGTGGAGTCGCGAGGTGGTCGCACCTCCCGAATTTAATCTCACTGGTCTAAACATTTGGCGATGCCGGATTCAATTCACCATTTCCTCAGCATTAAAGCCCCCAGTATTTATTTACTACCGGCTAACAAATTTTTATCAAAACCATCGACGATATGTCAAGAGCTTTGATGCCAACCAACTCAGTGGTGTCGCCGTTCCCTTGGAAACTCTGAAGGGTGGTAGTTGTAAACCAATGGCGGAATCCGCTGATAATCATGCGATTTACCCCTGTGGGTTGATTGCCAATTCCATATTTAATGGTATTTATGAAATATTATTTTTCTCTAATCCGTTGGGCGACATCTGTACATGTGATTAATATTTAGCGTGCAATTTTAAAATGAAACCTTTTAGACACGATCAATGTCACGTTTATCAACCCACCAGGGTCGCCTACAAACCAATCCTATGAATTTAGTAAAAAGGGAATCGCTTGGCCTTCTGATAAGCAGAAGTATGGAAAAACTCAGTACAATATCGCTGACATCCGTCCACCGCCCGATTGGGCTTCCAGATATCCTAATGGTACTTACACACAAGATTATCCACCCCCTGACATTTCTCAGGATGAGAGCTTCCAAGTTTGGATGCGCACTGCGGGTCTCCCAGATTTCAGGAAGTTGTACGGGAGAAATGATACCACAGTGATGGAAGCAGGAACCTACGAAATATCCATTGATTACGGTGAGTACACGAAAACATCTATTCTATTCTGTCGCATGTTTGGCGACTAACAATATTACATATCACATCAAAAAGAATTCCCCGTGACTCGTTATGGAGGCACGAAATCAGTAGTTATCTCTACGGTTTCATTTCTTGGTGGTAAGAATCCTTTCCTGGGGATTGTCTATGTCGCATCGGGAGCTTTATGTGTGATACTTGGATGTCTCTTTACAGCTAGGAACTTATATAAGCCCAGGTAATCACGATTCCGGATTTATTTAATTACACTTCTACTTTTTTTGACTTCAAACAATTATTAACCGTGTTTTTCTTATAGAAAACTTGGAGATCATACTTATCTTTCATGGAATAACAATCAAGGGCGTGCGGCGCCAAGTAATTGATAAAAGGAAGGCGCCTTCATAGATAAACTATCATTATTTATTCACTATTAAGATGAGTTTCGATTTACATGTAAGGGACAATCTATATAAAGATAGGATACTGCATAAACAAGTTCATTTTATTTCTTTATCTTAAAAAGATAGTTTTGTAGTCGTATTTGTTAGTCTTCTAATATATTTTATTTCAGGTTTGTATAATACAATTTACTTTTGTCTCCTAATAAGACTTTCTCTTATTAAAAAATTATTGTCTCCACTGGAAATCGTGTCACAGTCAGTTAACATTAAATGAACGTCGAAAAAATCAAAGTTTTACATGTGGGTTCCTTGAATATGAATAAATAAAATTAGTCTTTACTATACATATCGTATTCCATATAGGTTCAAGTCTCAAAGTTGGGTCAAAACCTGACCCACCGTTAAATATTTGAGCAAGATATTTCTGGCACCATTCGCGTCCCGATCCATTTCCACCTCGCACGAATCACATTTAATCATTTTTAATTCCCACATGTCTTTGATGTATACTCTTCGGTGCATTCAATGACCTTGCAACCTCTAAATCCTTCGATTTATTATCTGAAGCCTAAAAATAAATTAGTTATCATTGCACAAGCAGTCTTTGTCCGAATCTTTTGCTTGTTCTTCAAAATCATCTCGTAACTTTGACATAACCAATGGGCCAGCTGATGATAGCACTCATCTATTAAATTACAGATTCGTTGTATTATTCGTAGCATCATTTTCTTAATCAGAATCTCTTTCTCTTATTTTTTCTTCCCAAAGCAAGATCTTTGTCGCTCTATATTTTGTCACGTTTCTTAGATAATTTAAAATCACTGTTACCTCACTCGATTAATTGACATAATCGTGCGAACATCTGGATTGAGCGGATTACCCTTTTCCAAACATCATCTTGGTTATTTATGATATCCAAAGGAATGAAAACACAAGTAAAAAAATGTCCCGGATGATTTATAGTTATGTTAATCATATTGTTAATATTATCCACTTCCTCAAATTGAAAAACTTATAAACTAGTTGGCTGGAGTCAAGTACTTTAGTAAAATTTGATCTGTACTTGGAATATCACTGTCTTTTAAATTGGATATGATTACTATAAGTTTTTTGTTTTATTCTTTGAATTGAATAACATTTATATAATATTGAATAATATTTTCTAAAGATATTTTGATAATTTTATTATCATGTATTTGAATAATATCTTAATCTACAGTTAAACCAAAAAAGACTATTTGTAACTGTAAACTGTCTTCATTATCTTGAAACAATATTAATTATATATTAAAATAAAAAATACAGTATGTGTTATACAGTATATTAAAGTTAAATTAAAATATTTGTTTTTACTAAAGAAATTATTATATACTTATAAAAGAAATTCAATATTTACAACAAAACAATATTGCTTTAGAGCAGTAATAGTATGGATATTGTTATTGTCTTGAAAGAGCAAAATGAGAATTGTACCAATTTAAACTTGCAATAAACAGAGTGTTTCTATAAAATAAAAGAAAATAGGAATAAAATAAAGAAAAATAAAAGAAAATATTAAAAAAATATTAAAAAAATCAAAAGAAGATGAAATTCACATTCAAATATATTGAAACTTTCAGTTTCTCTTTTAACAGACTTCAAAATTACTGATAAAAATAATTTTCAATCCTCAATAATTTAATTTATTCAATATATATTTTGTTTCAAATATTATTAAATAAATTAATATGAACTATTCAAAATTATTGTTTCAGTCAATTTCACAACTCTATTCTGATATTGGAATCAAAAGATAACAATATATAAATATTGAATTTCAATAAAAAAACAATAGAAAAATGTAAAAAAAAAAATATAGAATAAATATAATTTTATTAAAAAAAAATTAAAGAAAATACATGAATTCAGAATTTTGTAATTATGATAGTTTTTCTTTTTTTTTTACAACTGGGGAAAATTGCAACCTTTTTATAACATTTTGATCAATTATAGGTTGCTTCTAATCTAATTATTTATATTGGTTCATCTATTTACACAAAAGATTTGGCTAGAGAATTATTTGTTACACTTAAAATAATCATTAAAGAAAATTCTTATCAATAAGAGAAAAAGCAAAATTACTCAAAATATCAATAAGACAATTTTTTTTAAAATCATAATAAAAGTTGTTCCTCTAGTCTTTCCGCAAATAGTTGCTTAGAATCTAAAAAAAGCTTCGCAACTTGGTTTTTGAGCTACGGCACTCAGAATTTACTGTGCCATTCAAAATTATATAAACATTTTGAGAATTCTTGGAGAAAAGAAGAAAATATTATATAGAAAATATGACTAAAACTAATAAATGTTAATAAATGTTAATAATATATGCTAGTATCTATCTAAAGTTAATAAAATTTTCAAAAATTTTATTACCAGTATATATAAGATAAGTATGGGTATTGTGATATATTGCCTAAAGTAACACAATATATAGTGTGAGTCATAAATTTTTGGAATTGGTTTTTTTAATATAATTTTTTTAATAACTATTTAAATATTATGAAAATTT